TCTTCCTCTAGAAACTGATCCTGGAAAGTGCCCGTCGCCACAATCTCCTGTTTAAAAAAGTTTCAGCCGTCCAACCCGAGAGCAGAAACAATACCGTGTGACTGAGGTGACCAATCACACACATCGTCAGGAGTGAGTAATGGGACTAGGACCGCTTGTGAGGCCCCCCCGCTGACCTGTTCGTATCACCCATTGGCTGAATACTTCTGAGGATCAAGCAGGTGCGCAGGGATCTGGGCCTGGGCCCTCTCTGCGGTACCCTGGGAATTTCAGGCTAGATCAAAATAACACAAATAAAGTGTAAAGGCCTCCTTGTTCCTGTCGGTTGGTTTTCACATCTAAACCCAAATGACAGGTTTGGTTCCCAGCAATCACACAGGAATTGCCCTATTGCCAAGGGAAACGACAGATTTCAAAGGCAAAACTCTGGCTCAGAGTCTGTTCTGGCTAAACTGTGCTTCTTGCAGGAGGGGGCAAAGGCTGCTTTACACTCCAGAGCTTGGGCTGCCCATTCAGGGCATAAATTAGAGCAGCCCCAGGACTGCTCCAATGTATGTTTGGCTGCAACAGCTCTCCAGAGTCATCCCAGTTGAGAATAGTAGGAGCTATTTTGATCTGGCCATGCCTGCACCCTCCCCTCGTGCACACTCTATGCCAGTGGCTAGGGAGGTGGCTAAAGCCACTCTGGCAACTCTGCTGTGTGGAGAAAGCCCTTATGCCAGGGATAGTCCCAGAGGCCATTTCCACTGAGGTTCTGTCTCATCACAATGCCAGAGTGATGTAAAGGAACCAGAACATGACAGAGAATCTGGCCTAGGTGATCTGCATGTAACCGTTTCTCCCTCCCTTCCACCTCTTCCTCTCGCACAGATACTATCGCTGGCGATTGGGAGTCCAGGACAGGTCTTACCAATTAAAACCCACTAACTTTTAGGGATATTTTAGCCCATTTGTGACTTTTTCAGGCAAGGATCGGGGTTTATTACAAATCTGGGGTTTATTTCTTTGTGTAAAGCTGACTGCAATGGGGCTGAGAGCCGGAAGCTCCCGGGCCCCTCATGGAGCCTGTGCTCTAGTGAAGGGACGCTGTATGACTACAACACTTCTGCGAGCTGAGCGCTCACGGTGCCCGGTGGGCAGAGGATGCTCCGAGAGAGGCTGTGAATCCAGAGCACTGATTCTATATTTCAGAATAAAATTGTGGATCAGTGTGAGAAGCTCCAGCTGCAGAGTGCTGCGATCACCAAATACGTGGCCGAGGTGCTGCCGGGGAAGAACCAAAGTGCTCTGGTAATTCTCTTTTCTCTCCATGGCACGGTAATGGGGACCTGAGCTTGCTAGTGCAGCCTGCATCTCACAGGTGAACACCCCCTCACTCAGCAATAGTAGTGCTGGCTGCCCAGGGTTGCTGAGATGGCTTTACTCTTTGGTTACTGATTTTATTTAGGCCCTTCTCCCTATCTGACCATCCCCCAGAGCGAACAGACCGTTTTGCTTGGTCTCCTGCAGTGTTAACCCCAACTCTACTCCGTGAGGCAGCCAGCGGAGTGTAGGCACGGTACACATTGCACTGCTTCCAACACCCTCCCTGCTGCCCCGTCCTCCTGGGTTCTGGGGATGTGCTCGGGAGCCGAACCCTGAACTTTGCTATTGAATTTTCTCGTCTCTCAGTTCAGGTGGTGCTGCTTCCCGTGCCTCCCTCGGGCAGTGCTTTCCTTTAAAGCGACCGTGTCAGGATAACAATACTAGGTCTATTTCTCCCTTTCGCCGAGGCCACGTTACACCTCTCTGGCAGCATCTGTTTCATCCTACACTGATTTTAAAGCCCATTTCCCCTGCGAGAGCAGGGCAAAGTGGCCGTAGCATAACTGAGAATCCGGACAGCTATTTCTGTGTAAATATTCTGTGGGTATGGCTATGCTTGTAATGCCACAGTGTAGAGGTTATTCCCTATGCTTCTCCCATCGGCCTGGTTTATCCACCTCCCCAAGAATCCTTCCGTCGACCTAGCACTGTCTACACAGGACTTAGGTCGGTTTAACTACGCCATTTTGCGGGGTGGATTTTCCATATCTCTGAGCGATGTAGTTATGCCGACCTAATTTTCTAGTGTAGACCAGGCCTGTGTTAGCAATAATGGCTTTGAACACTTCAATGACCCTAACTTCTCCTGGTTCCCTGCTGTTGCCTGTGCGTCAATAAAAGGCTAGTCAGTTTCAGTTTTGTTTCAGTCAGTTCACTTCCAGCCTCTCCTGCCCTCCTGCAATGGCTGGACTGCAAAGACTGCACAGACGTGCTTCAGTTGGAGCAGACCCGCTGCTGAGTGAATGGTGGGCGGGGAGGGGGGGAACGGCAGCTGTCAGGCCTAATCCTGCAAGCCCTCCCTAATGTGAGTTGAGTCCAGTGGGACTGCTGCAGGGAGCCAGAGCTGCTGTCCTGCACCAGGCGTTGCAGGCTGGGCCTTTGGCTTGTCAGCATGAGATCGTTTCCCTAACATTACATGGTGTAAAACTTGTTTTTTGTATGAAGCTGAAATTTGGGCCTTGCTGGGTGTCTAGTTGGCACTTAGTAGCCATGGCGATACCAGCTAGTGCCTTAGAAACACCATAGCTGGTAGGTAGAGCGGCCTGGTTCCGATCTCACATTGGTTTACACCACTTTAATCCCGGTGATTTCAGGTGGATTGACTCAGCGTTAGCGGGCACTGAAAGCCAGCTCCGGTGGTAGCTTTCCAGCGTGCCAGTGGTACTGCATGTAGTGCTTGCTGAGCTGAGGCAGGGGCACCTGACACCTCTCCCTCCCCTGTCCTTGCTGTGGCAGGGCGCGGCCAGCTGGGCCCGGGAAGTGGTGATCCAGAGACTGATCTTTGTGAGAAATGTGTGTGAGAACGAAGAGCAGCGACTGCTGGAGAAGGTGCACGCGGAGGAGGAGAGGACTCACCAGAGCATCCTGACGCAGCGAGCTCACTGGACCGAGTCCCTGCAGAAACTGGCTGCCCTCCGCACCTACCTAGTGGACATGATCACCAACCTGGATGACCACGGCCTGGTGGTAAGTACCATAGTCATAGAATCATAGAATATCAGGGTGGGAAGGGACCTCAGGAGGTCATCTAGTCCAACCCCCTGCTCAAAGCAGGACCAATTCCCAACGAAATCATCCCAGCCAGGGCTTTGTCAAGCCTGGCCTTAAAAACCTCTAAGGAAGGAGATTCCACCACCTCCCTATGTAACCCATTCCAGTGCTTCACCACCCTCCTAGTGAAATAGTGTTTCCTAATATCCAACCTAAACCTCCCCCACTGCAACTTGAGACCATTGCTCCTTGTTCTGTCATCTGCCACCACTGAGAACAGTCTAGATCCATCCTCTTTGGAACCCCCCTTCAGGTAGTTGAAGGCTGCTATCAAATCCCCCCTCATTCTTCTCTTCTTGAGACTAAACAATCCCAGTTTCCTCAGCCTCTCCTCATAAGTCATGTGCTCCAGCCCCCTAATCATTTTTGTTGCCCTCCGCTGGACTCTTTCCAATTTTTCCACATCCTTCTTGTAGTGTGGGGCCCAAAACTGGACACAGTACTTCAGATGAGGCCTCACCAATGCCGAATAGAGGGGAATGATCACGTTCCTCGATCTGCTGGCAATGCCCCTACTTATACAGCCCAAAATGCCGTTAGCCTTCTTGGCAACAAGGGCACACTGTTGACTCATATCCAGCTTCTTGTCCACTGTAACCCCTAGGTCCTTTTCTGCAGAACTGCTGCCTAGCCATTCGGTCCCTAGTCTGTAGCAGTGCATGGGATTCTTCCGTCCTAAGTGCAGGACTCTGCACTTGTCCTTGTTGAACCTCATCAGGTTTTTTTTGGCCCAATCCTCTAAATCCTCTAAGTCCTGTACTGAGGAACCGGTCTAGCCTGCAGCCAGGCTTCTCTCGCTGCAGCTGATGACTCTTGAGCGCAGCAGTTCGGCAGCTTGTTGCACTGACAACAAGGAGGCCAGAGTTCAAGAGAGACTCGGGTTTGCTTTCCTGGGAAGCAGCTGTGGCTACCCAGGGAGTCAGCTGGCTGGAATCACCGGAGAAATGTGGTTGCCCCGTAAGAGCAAGGAACAGGTGAGGGAGCTTCTGAAATGTTCCCGCTGGTCTGCGGGTGATGGGAGAATATCAGAATTGTCTTCCAAGCTCGGGATGCACCATCCTTTGGATGCAGGGCTAGAGCAGCACTAACTGCTGCATTGCTTCCTCCTTGCCTGTTCTCCCTTGCAAGCAAATGGGACCACAGGGGCCCAAGCAGGGCCTCAGCGTTTGAGGACTGGACTCGGGAGTCAGGAGGGAGAAGGCCAGCACATGATTTTTCATGGGTTTTTCTAGTTCTTTGTTGATTTTAAACAGCTCCGGGCAGGTCTACACTTAAAACGCTGCGCCGGTGCAACTGCACCGCTGCAGCGCTTTAATGAAGACGCTTTAAACCGATGGGAGAGAGCTTTTCCCGTCGACTTGAATAGTTAATAGGCTCCATGAGAGGCAGTAGCTGTGTTGGTGGGAGAAGCTGTCCCGCTGACATAGTGCTGTCTACACTGGCGCTTAAGTCGGTATAACTGGGTCGCTCAGGAGCGTGGATCATTCACCCCCCCGCCCCGCCCCCGAGCGACGTGGTTATACTGAAGTGATTTTGTCGTGCAGAGCAGGGCTCGGTCTTTGGGACCCTGCCTTTCCCTGGAGAGATCCCCTGCAACCTAACAAACCTTGGTGTGAGGGAACTTCTCCTACTCAGTCTGCACGTTCCTTTGGCTGGTTCCTTCCCATTAGTTATTAAATCACCTTGGATCACCTTAACAATTCCTCTCCAGTCAGATGTTAGCAGGCAGTTATCCTGTTTCCCCGACCTTAAGCCATTGCTTAGCTTCATTTAACTTGAAGTGAGTGGCAGAAGCTTTGCTCTCTGGCTGGTCAGTGGAGTGAACCAGTGGTGATACGAATAACAGCGAATCTTTTATTCTGCCTTCTGGTATTGTCCCACCAGAGAGACGGGAGGCTGGAGTACGAGATCTGTTAAATACCAGCCAGCAAGAGAGTACCGGGTGAAAAGGTCTGTCTGGCTCTTTGCTGCGTAGCAGTGGTGGTGGGTGGGGGCGGTGTGAGGCTTGTAAATGTTTCCACACTGGGTCAGAGGTTGGTCTTTGGCGGGAGCTGACACTTGATGTTAGTGTGACCAGATGTCCCGATTTTATAGGGACAGTCCCGATATTTGAGGCTTTTCTTGTATAGAAGCCTATTATCCTCCCAACCCCTGTCCCGATTTTTCACACTTGCTGTCTGGTCACCCTACTTGATGTGTCAGAGGAAGGGTCTTGCAATGCTCTACTCAGGAGTGCTGCGTGTTTGTCTTTTACTTCCTGGCTCTGTGGTGCTCAGACTATGGCCTGAAGCAGGAGAGACGAACACACTGACCACACATATAGCTACAAATATGATGGATCCTAGAATTGTCCGGCCCTGGGATAGGATTCTCTAACCCCCACAATGGAAAATGCCACCAATTGACCACACACCATGCAAAGAAATCTTCCTGAATTTACTTTGGCTAACTAATGCAGGCTCCATAATGAGAAAGCTGATACAAATGTGAGGTTTGGCTGATAACAGAATGATGTCTGGTTTGGAGCTGTCATCACCCCCAGGTCTTAGGCCTTTCCCTGAGGAGATGGGGACCTGGGACAGACTGTGGGGGCAAAGTACAATTGCAGTCAGCATCTGAGATGCCATGAGTCAGACAGCTGATGGGGGGGCTGTACTGACTGTGCTAAAGAGCTGCGCTTCCTGTGGGTTTAAATGCACTGAGGTGTCACTGCTGTGTAGTTGCCAATATGTTAAACAGTAGTTCTCAATCGATAGATTGTGGTTGTGCAGAAGGCACTGCATGTTCTGGAGCTCCCGGCCTGTGGAAATGGCTGGGCTGGTCCATCTGCCCCACAGAAATAGATTTCTGTTAATGGTGTCTTATCACTACTGCTCGGGCTGCCTTTGAGCGAGCCCAGGATGTCCTTTCCGTGTGGAAGCGGGGGAGGGACACCACTGACAAGTGCAAGTGGCAGGGTCCCACACCGAGGTGCCGAGGGAACGATGCAGCAGGAATAGGCTCCTGGGTGCAGCGGGAGACCCCGGAGCACCGAGGAGTTTGGATCCAGAGTTGCCCTCACACCCTGACCGAGGTCTCCCACGTGTTTCCCTCACACCAGACAAGCCAGCTCTGCTTTTGAGAGCAGCGGTGCCAGCCTGTGACTCATGCACACAGCACCGCAGTGTCCAGCCACCAGCAGCTCCCTATGCCCTGCCCACACTGTGCTGGCTCTGAGCGCGCAGAGCCCTGATGGCACTATGGGAAATGGAGCCCAAAAGGCACTAGAGGATGTGCCCCACCCCAGCCTGAGCCGGGAAGAGGGAGATGGGCAGCACAGGGCGGGGGATGGGGCTGCTCTCCCACAGGGCCCAGGAAGGACAGTTGTGCTTCCCACAACCCAGGCCAGCAGGAGAGAGGGGAAACCTCTGAAGTGCTGCAACAAAGCCTTCTGGGATGGATGTGGGGCTGGGGAGCTGGAGGACTCCTGCTGCAGATGGCCTGACTGCAAGGCGCCTGCACTGAGGGGTCTCGGACGCCATTGTGGGAGGCACGTTAGATAACAGGCCACAGAGCAGCTGGTAGAACAAGCACCAGGGTGGGTCTCAGGAGACGGAGCCATCAGGACGAGGGCGAGAGGATCCTTGGCTACCTGTGCCAGGCAGACTTTCCTGCTGCAGGAACTTATTCAATTCACCTGCTTCGAGCATCGCCAGCGGCACAGGCTCAATCCTAGGAGGCAGCTTTAGCCATTTTCAGGGAGGGTGAGGGGTTCGCTGTTCGCTGTGACACTGTCTGGGCCGGGGCGGGCTCGGCGAGGGGGATGGAGGACTTGGGAAGACATCCAAACCCACTGAGACCTTTGCATAAGTGCCCAGGGAGAGATTTTATTGTGTGAGAACAATGACAATCAACGGCACCGGGTAATACCAGGGTATAAAATATAGAATGACAGGGTAAGTCACACTGGTGGGGGGTTGACACTCTGTGGGAAAGCATAGGGCCAAATATACAACTCTACATTCATCAAACGGTGCCATAGAATCACTCTGCATACCAATTCCATGCTTGAATAATAAGAGTATATAGCTGCAGGAATATAGTACCGACCACCTGACCAGGATGGTGATGGTGACTGTGAAATGCTCCACGAGATTAGAGAGGCTACAAAAATAGAAAACATAATAATGTGGGAGATTTCAACTATCTCCATATTGACTGGGGACGTGTCACCTCAGGACGGGATGCAGAGATGAAGTTTCCAGACACCATTAATGACGGTTTCTTGGAGCAGCTAGTCCTGGAACCCACAAGGGAAGAGGCAATTCTCAATTTAGTCCTGAGTGGGGCGCAGGATCTGGTCCCCGAGGTGAATAGTGCTTACCCGTTCAGTACTAACAACCATAATGTAATTCCATTTAACATCCATGCAGGGGGAAAGTACCAAAGAAACCCAACACAGTAGCATTTAACTTTAAAGAAGGGAAACTACACAAAAATTAGGCTAGTCAAATGGAAATTAAAAGGAACAGTCACAAGAGTGAAATGCCTAGTAAACTGCACAGAAACTACTTAAAAATACTGTAATAGAGCTCAAACGAAATATGTACCCAAATCACATCAAAACAAAACAATAAGACCAAACAAATGCTACCATGGTTAAACAGCAGCGTCAAAGGGGGTTCGAGGCAAAAAGGCAACATTTAAAAATTGGATGTCAAATCCTAAGGAGGAAACTAGAAAGAAGCATGAACTCTGGCAAGTCAAGTGCAGGCCAAAAAAGAATTTGAAGAGCAACTAGCAAAAGACACAAAAACTAACAGCCTGTCAAAGGCTGTGGCTACACTATGCAGTTTTTAGTGACGCAGCTGTTCTGCTAAAAGCAGTGCAGTGTAGCTGCTGGTTTGTCGGCAAGAGAGAGCTCTCCTGCTGACAAAAAACTTCCACCTCCCATGAGCGGCAGCGGCTTCGTCGGCAGGAGAGCGCTGTTCACACTGGTGCTTTTCGTCAGTAAAACTTGTTGTTTGAGGGGGGTGTTTTTTTTAACATGCCCGACAAAAGTTTTGCTGACGAAGTGCCAGTGTAGACAAACCCAAATAGTCAGTGAGGCCTTTGAATGATCGAGGTGCTAAAGGAGCACTCAAGGAAGCCAAGGCCATTGTGGAGAAACTAAATAAATTATTTTCATTCGTCTTCATTGCAGAGGATGTGAGGGAGATTCCCACACCTGAGCCATTCTTTTTAGGTGACAAATCTGAGGAACTGTCCCAGATTCAGGTGTCAATAGAGGAGGTTTTGGAACAGATTGATAAATTAAACAGTAATAAGGCATCAGGACCTGATGGTATTCACCCAAGAGTTCTGCGAGAACTCAAATATGAAGTTACAGAACTACTTGTGGTACGTGACCTACTGCTGAAACCAGCCTCCATGCCAAATGGAGGATAGGTATTGTAATGCCAATTAAAAAAAAAAAAGACTCCAGAAGAGACCCTGTAAGCCTAGCTTCAGTACTAGGCAAATTGGTTGAAACTAATAGAAAACAGAATTCTCAGACATATCGATGAACATGATATGTTAGGAAAGAGTCAACACAGCTTTTGTAAAGGGAAATCATGCCTCACTAATCTAGTAGAATTCTCTGAGGTTGTCAACAAGCATGTGGATACGGGTGATCCAGTGGACATAGTGTACTTGGACTTTCAGAAAGTCTTTGACAAGGTCCATCACCAAAGACTCTAAAGCAAAGTAACCAGTCATGGGATAAGAGGGAAGGTTCTCTGATGGATCATTGATTGAAAGATAGGGAACAAAGGGTAGGAATAAATGGTCAGTTTTCACAATGGAAAGTGGTAAATAGTGGGATCTGTACTGGCACCAGTGCTGTTCAATATATTCTTAAATGATCTGGAAAAAGGGAATGGTGAGGCGGGAAAGTTTGCAGATGATACAAAATTATTCAAGATAGTTCAGTCCAAAGCTGATTGCGAAGAGTTACACGGGGATCTCATAGAACGGGATGATTAGGCAAGAAGACATTGATAAATGTAAATTAATGCACATTGGAAAACATAATCCCAACTATACATACAAAATGATGGGGTCTAAATTAGCTATGACCACTCAAGAAAGATCTTGGAGTCATCGTGGAAAGTCCTTTGAAAACATCTGCTCAATGTGCAGTGGCAGTCAAAAAAGCTAACAATATTAGGGACCATTAGGAAAGGGATAGATAATAAGACAGAAAATATAATAATGCCTCTATATAAATCCCTGGTACACAGAAACCTTCAATGTTGCCTGCAGTTCCGGTTGCTCCAGCTCAAAAAAGAGAGATTGGAACTGGAAAAGGTACAGAGAAGGGCAGCAAAAATGAAAAGGAGACTTCTGAGACTATTGATTGCCACAATCTCAGGTTTCATTAAAAATATATATTAG